TATATATATATATATATATATATATATATATATATATATATATATATATATATATATATATATATATATATATATATATATATATATATATATATATATATATATATATATATATATATATATATATATATATATATATATATATATATATATATATATATATATATATATATATATATATATATATATATATATATATATATATATATATATATATATATATATATATATATATATATATATATATATATATATATATATATATATATATATATATATATATATATATATATATATATATATATATATATATATATATATATATATATATATATATATATATATATATATATATATATATATATATATATATATATATATATATATATATATATATCCTCAATTTCGAGTTAAAGCAAATGAACTTTTCTAGTCGTCTCAACTCACATAAGTCAAACTGGCTAAAAATATGATGTTACAATTTTGCTGAATCCTGATTAACTTGCTAAAATAAGTTTAATTTAAAACAAAAATATTTGGTCTCAACTTTTTTTGTCATTAATAGTTTTACAGATTATGTTATGAATGTTTAATTGTTCTGAAAATCAAAATTTAACACATGCAAATCACATAGAAACTGCGAAATTGAGCTCAAAAATCCCAGCTCAGTGTGTTATAAATCTCAACATGACAATATGAATTGCCTACACTGTAAAAAAAATCTTCCTCAATATTTGAGTTGAATCGAATGAACTTTTCTAGTCGTCTCAATTCACATCAATCAAACTGACTAAAACTCTGAAGTAAACTGTGTATGACTTTAAAACAGTTGAATCCTGTTTAACTTATTAACCTGCTTGTATGAGCAATTAGTCCTGACAGCATGTGTTTTTAGGTCATTGTAACTCATTAAGTTTAGTTTATCATGTTCTAACTTAATTTTGTAAGTTATACAGGCTGTTTTAAGTCAGTTTAACATAATATAAGTCCAACAAACTCATCAGGTTCATTTCATTCAGCTTAAAAGTTTAAGGCTACCAGGATTTTTACAGTGTACTCTAAAAAAATACGTGTTAAAATAAGTTAAATCAACTTAAGCACATGTGCTGTCCTGACTTTTTGCTATTAGATGTTTATGTTACAAATGCTGAGTTGTTCTGAAGTGCATGCAATTAACACAGAGTTATTATTCTGAATGATGGTCTTTATTTCATTATTTGATTGCACAATGCTAGCTCATTTGTGATTTGTCAGATGTACGGTGTGCAGTTTGAGCATGTTATAACACAAAGGCTGACATCTGTTGGCATGAGATGTAATACATGAACTACAGTAGCGCGTCCATTAAAACGGACAAAAAAAACTCTCCAATCTTTGCCAATGTAAGCAGAGATTAATTGCAGAACTGAAGTCAGATTCTTGTGACT